CTCTGAATTTGACCATTGAAAAGGTCACCCAAGCAAACAGTCAGCTACTTGGTTATAAAAATGATTGTTGGCACATCCTATATATCTAAATTGAATAATGGTACCAGATACAATGATGGGTGGGATTGAAGCTGTGTATCATCCATTATCATGTGTAATCAATAAACGATTTAATTCTCTTGAAAAAAAAAAAAACAAAAAACAAATAAATCCTGTGAAAGAGTAGATTTTCCTTCTTCCCACTGATAAAAAATGATGTGATATCTGATGTGGAACTTGCACATTACTTTGTAATAATGGAGGGATTTATAACAAAACAAAATAAGATCAGTTTAATCTGACCAATATGAAATATTTCAATATTAAAGACTGAAAATTCTCCAAATAAAGTTGGGCTTTATTTGTATCAGCACAGTCCAATTGTGCACTTATTCCACTGAAGTATCTCCCTGGCCCCAGTTCAACTGTATTTAACTGTAATTCTTTTTTTTACCTTAGGTACACCCATTATTTTTCCCAGGGTCAAAATAAGTATCATCACTGTGTGTTATATTAAATATTCTTACATTTCTAAAACACAGTTTTCTCAGTGGATCTAGGTAACATTTGGTATATTAACTATAAGTTAGTGTAAATAATTTCTGAGGTATTATGTACTATATGGACATCCCTTTGGAAAAGACTGTTAATTTGATGGTACCCATCCTTCCTACTTTACATATGAGGAAAAAAGGTAAGACAGGGCACTAGATATTCTTGGAGAAGGAAGGAAAGGACAAGTTTGAAGGTCCTCCACTGCATTACAATCTATAACTTTAGTCAATTTACAGATAAGGGCTCTATGTAAGATTTCATTTAATCCAAGAGGTTTTTTTTCTTTAATATAAAAAGGTTTAAATTCTGCACTTCTCTTCTGACCATACAATATAATTACCCATAAGGAAAATGTTATACTGGGGGGGGGGAGACCAGGAAAATAATTTTTTAAGGCAAATATAAAACAGTTCAAAATAAGTATGAATATTTTATATCATCATGTAGCCAAAGAGAACTATAGGTTCCACATCCAGGTCTCATATGTTCTGTGAGTTTTCTTGCTACTCAAATGTGTTTTTAAAAATCCCTTTAAATATTTTCACTAATAATTTTGCTATACCTATACTATTATATACTCCAGTAAAAGCAAATATGGCTAGAATGGAAAGTCCTAGAGTAAGTGAAAAATTAAAGTAATTTCTATTACAAATTGTGTTACTTGCTAATTCTGTCCTTTTAAAAATTTACCAGTACACCAAATAGCTCAACAGATTAAAGCACCAAACAGGTGCAGGAGCCGGGGTTTCAATACCCAGGCCTGCCATGCTGGCCCTGCTCCTGAGGTGTGTGTGCAGAGATGGCAATTGAGACTGGGTGTGGTGGTGTGTGCCTGTAATCCCAGTTTTGGGGAGGTTGTAAACAGGGGGATCACTGTGAGTCCAATCTAGTAGTGAGACCCTGAACACCCTGTAGACCCTTCCCTAAAATATAAGATTAAATAAAATTTACCAGTACATTATTTTCTAAAAACTAACTTAAACTTATTGAGAATGTTTTCCAATAAAAAATAAAAATTCAGGCCCTACACAGGTTGTCTAGCATGTATGAAATTCTGGGTTCAATCCTCAGCCCTGTGTGGAGGGGGAAAGATTAGGGCCTACAACATTTTTACAAAGTTTTCCATTCTCCATGCTCTAGAAGCCAATGCTGATGGTCCTTATTCTCCATCCCTCAATATGGAATGATTTCTATTTATTATCTCCACAAATGAGGATTATCCAGCAAGTATTTTTCTTTGCTTTTTCTTTTTCAAAAATAGGCTCTGCACTGTCTGAGACTGATGTTAGTGATGTTAGTGTACCCTTACAATCCACAAATCTTGTAAGGAAATTCACATTTGCTTCCTAATTGTTTGACATTCACACCTCAATCATCCTAAAAATTACTATATTTTATCATTAAAATTTTTAATCTAAATTTTCCCATAATAATGTCCCTGGGGGCCTGCCCCTTAGCTCAGTTCTTTAAGTGGCTGCTTCAACAAAGCAGTCAGGCTCAGGTTGCTGTGGTTCGATCCCCACAACTCAAGCCAGCCAAACCTGCCCTGAAGGCATTCGGAGCAAAAAAAAAAAAGTCCCTGATGGAAACAGTGACATCAATCTAAGAATCAATTTCTTTCAGTAAAGGGGTATAAAAATTAAAGAAAGAGAACTTATATTTATTTATTTATTTACTTATTGACATGGTCTCACTACATAGTTCAGTCTTTCCTCGAACTTACTATATAGCCTAGGCTGAACCTTGAACATAAAGTACTTCTCCTAGCTCAGCCTCCTGAATGCTGGGATTATAGGCATGTATCATCATCATGCCTGGCATTAATCAGTTTTTAAAAGACTTAGATTCTATGATGCTTTTCTTTAATTATATCCAAATAGACCCAAGGAAAATAATGCATACTATAAAACATCCTATTATTCTGTAATTATTAGATTTGGTACTTTGGGAACATATAGTAACATCTAACTTAAATTCTCCATTCTTTTATGTATGAGGGAAACCATGTATAAGAGGAAAAAGTACTCTACCATAAACAAAGTTTCTTCTCCAATTGTCAGACTTACCAAAGATAGAGGAAGGGCGCCAAATAGCTCAGTGGACTAAAGCACCTGCTTAGGCAGGCACAGGGATTGGGTTCCATCCCCATGCCGGCCCTGCCCCCAGGGTGTACTGAGATGCCAATTGAGATTGGGTGTGGTGGCACATGCCTGAAATCCCAGCACTTGGGAGGCTGAAAAACAG